AGGAGGAGCAGGAGGAGGAGGGTGCGGGGGCGAGGTAAGCCGCACAACAAAAAGCACCACGTCGGAGGCCTCGGGGCGGAGGGCCGCCTCGCCTCGACGGCCCCTCTGCCCTGCTGGTCGCGGGGGCGCCGCCCAGGGTTCCTTTTTCGCTGCTTTTTGTCCGCGGGGGCGTCGCCCCAGTGGTTCGCGTCCGTCCGCCGCTGCTCGCAACTGGTCAACTGGCTCGTTTTCTGCCTCCAGAAATTTTGCTTGTCAACCGCTGCTGGTCCGTTAACTATTTGGGAAAACTGCTAAGGTAGCGAGGCGGCACGACACTGGGTCGCTTTCCCACCGCGCGCCTCTGCCTCACCCGCAGACTGTACCGAATGAGAAAAGTTACCACCTGCGAGCAAAAAAAAGCACACGCATCGTAGACGCGCGCTTGTGAAACCAACTTCGCGGCAACCCCCTGGCAATGACGTTCGGGAGCTGGCGCTGACATGGCACGGCAGGAGGAGGAGGAGCAGGAGAAGGAGGAGGAGGAGGAGGAGGAGGAGGAGGAGAGCCGCGAAGATTTCGCCAGGGAAATGGCTGGGCGCCGCGGCCACGGCGCTGCTCGGGCAAACCTCGGGCAGCATCCGGAGGCCAACCCGCAGTGCGCTGCCAACACGTGGGCATCGGCAAGGGCTGGGCGTGTGAATTAGCGGCACGGCGCCGAGCAGCGCGTGCGGATGGCAGCACGGCTGACTGGGCTGGGCCGTGGCGTTTGCCCCGGCAGTGTCTGAGAGACTGCGACAATAGGGGGCCACATGCGAACCCTACCCCTACCCCCAACGAATTCTGAGGGGGGGGGTCACTTCGTTCGGGAGCTCCCGAGCGAAGTGAACCCCACCCTCCCCCTCGGAAATCGTGGGGGGTAGGGGACGGGTTCGCATGTTGCCCCCCAGACAAGTAAGCGAGACCCTACGCACAGGAACACTCACCCCGACAGTCAGTGGACTATTGCTGGCAGTGGGCGTTTAGTGAATGTTTCGTATCGGGCAGATTTGGGGTCCAACGCCTTGTTCTCAACCTCATTGCATCCGTAGCCGCTCATGCTGAAGCGGCGCGTTTTCAAAACGCCCCATGACATGGGCGGATTCCGGCTGTGGACCGACGACCGACGACCGAGACAACGACGACGACCGACGAACACGATCGACCGAACAATGACCGGACCAAACGACCGATCGACCGACCGACCGAAACGACGACGGCCGACCACGACCGATCGACTGACCGACCGAGACGACGACCAGCGGACCGACCGACAGACGAATCGAGGCGACGACGACGACCGACGACGACGACCGACGGACCGACTGACCGACAGACGAGCGCGCGGACTGGCCCAGTTTGGGAACGAGGCGTGGGCACAATGCCAGGACCCTCGCCGCGGGCCCGCCCCCCCCCCTCGCCCTGACTGACTTATACTTTTGAAGCCCGAAACCGGGCGAGGCTCCAGCACAGAATTTTCACAAGGGAGAGTGATCCAGCCGCCAAAGCAGCCGCCCCATTTTTTCGGCTTCTGCCCTAATGTTTGACTTATGTTTTGCAAAGCGGCAAAGCGCGAGTGTTCCAGCCGCCCACGGTGCTGGTTCCAGCTCAGCGAGAGCGCTCTAGCCGCCTGCGGCGTGGGTTCCAGCCGCGCATGTTTACCCAGCGCGAGCGTTCCAGCCGCGCGCGGCGCGGGCTCCAGCCATGCACTTCTACCGAGCGGGAGCGTTCTGGTCGCCCACGGCGCGGGTTCCAGCCGTGCACGTTTACCGAGCGCGCGCGTTCCAACCGCGCGCGGCGTGGGTTCCAGCCATGGACTGTTACGCGGCACGAGCGTTTCCGGCCGCACACGGCGTGGGTTGCAGCCATGAGCTTGTGCCGAAACGCAAGCGCTCCAACCGCCCACGGCAAATTCTTACCAGCAAAGAAGTCCACTGACTGCAGGAAGATTGAAAGCGAAGATGGGGGCCCATCAAGCAGCCAGGTGGATGCAACCTTGCTGATCGCACCAGCTTAACAAACACGCTGACCCTTTCCGCGGACCAAGAGTCGTATGAAGATAATCTCCCCTTTCTCACAACCCCTCCTCAAAGGGCTCACACATCCAATGTTGAGGAATTAAGCCAGAATGGCAACTTGACTCGTAACATGCCCTCGACTTGCACACCTACGCGCTTATTTACACACACACACACATACACACATCTTCTGAAAGCTGATGCACGACCACCCCAGGCTTCGTCCTCCCTCCTCCACCTCTTCCTCCTCCACCTCCTCCTCTCCTTCCTCCTGCTGCTCCTCCTCCTCCTCCTCCCCACTGCTCCTGAGGCCTGCTCCTCCTCCTCCTCCTCCTCCGCACTCCTCCTCCGGGCTCCGTCTCCTCTTCGCTGGATCCCTCCTCCTCATACACCACTCCTTTCCGTCGCACCTCGAAGCCGTTCGGGAGGGCGGGCTGGGCCGCCTGAGGCTCCCTCACAATGTGTGACTCTGGCGCTTAGAATTTGCAGCAATCTCGCGGATGAAGAACGGGTCGCTTTCAAGAGGCGGCTCTCGCCTCAGCGACGCGCACACTGGTCGTAAAAAACGAAGAGCTTCACGGGTGGAGGGTGGGCCGGCTTCACAAGGAGGCTCTCGCTTCAGCGCCCCGCACGCTCGTCTTACAGAGCATGCGAGAGCCTCACGGACGGAGGGCGGGCCGCTTTCAAGATGCGGACCTCGCCTGAGCGCCGCGCGCACTCGTTTGAACAAATGGTGTGAGCTTCAAGGATCGAGGGCGGTTTCTTTTCGAACTGCGGCTCTCGCGTTAGCGCCGCGCACGCAGGATGTAGGCCTGTCAAGGCGCGACAATATATTGATACTCGGTGTTGAAGTTCCAGGGACGCGGTTCTGGCACGATTCCGGATCGCCAAGACGCAAGAGTACACAGATTCGATGCGTTAAGGTCCCAGGGATGGCGCTCTGGCACGCTTCAAGATGTTCAAATGGTTGTCTTCCAACGGGGCACTTCCCTCAGTAAGAAAGAAACCTTGTTAGGGGCCTGTGGGGAGGGAACTTTGAGGGAGGGTTTCTGGCAACATCGTTGATGAGCCTTGGGTTTACACTGGTCTTCCTCCTCCTCCTCCTCCTCCTCCTCATCCCCGCTCCTCCTCCTCCTTCTCCCCCTTCTCCTCCTCCTCCTCCTGCTCCACCGCATTCCTCCTCCTCCTCCTCCTCCTCCTCCACTTCCCCCTCCTTCTCCTCCTCCTTCTCCTTCTCCCCCTTCTCCTCCTCCTCCTCCTGCTCTGCCGCATTTCTCCTCCCCCTCCTCCTCCACTTCCCCCTCCTTCTCCTCCTCCTCCTCCTCCTCCTCCTCCTCCTCCTCCTCTCCTCTCCTCCTCCTCCTCCCCCTCCTCCCCCTCCTCCTCCTCCCTCTCCTCCTCCTCCTCCTCCTCCTCCTCCTCCTCCTCCTCCTCATCCCCGCTCCTCCTCCTCCTCCTTCTCCCCCTCCTCCTCCTCCTCCTCCTCCTCCTCCTCCTCCTCCTCCTCCTCCTGCCGCCGCATTTCTCCTCCCCCTCCTCCTCCACTTCCCCTCCTTCTCCTCCTCCTCCTCCTCCTTCTCCTCCTCCTCCTCCTCTTCCTCCTCCTCCTCCGCGTCCTCCTCCTCCTGCTCCTGCTCCTCCTCCTCCTCCTCCTCCTCCTCCTCCTCCTCCTCCCCCTCCTCCTCCTCTTCCATCCCCCCCCCCCTCCTCCTCCTCCTCCTCCTCCTCCTCCTCCTCCTCCTCCTCCTCCTCCTCTTCCTCCTCCCCCGCGCCGCGCTCCCGCGCGTGCCATGGGCCGAAAAGCGACGAGGCACGAGTGCCACGGGGACCCTCGAGCACGGAGGCCCCGAGAAGGGTAGGCCCAAGCTTCCAAGCGTCAAATGGCGGCCGGATCCTCTTCTGCTCAGGCACTCGGAAGCCGGCATCGGGCCCTGGGGCAGTGAAAAATCTACTGCCTTGGACGGGGGGGGAGGGGAAGTCCCATGGATGGGCTCCGGGGGCCCACGTCACACATAAAGCTATGGCGTCGGAGGCCCGGGGTGGTCAGAGGAGCCGCGCCAACAGCCCAAGACCAGGGAGACGCGCTGCGCAACCCGCGGCGCATGATGGCGCAGAGGGAGGTCGGCGGATGTGCTGTCAGCATGGCGAGTGCAGCAGCAAGAGCGAAGACAAGTGGCACAACGTTAGTCTAACACTCGTCTGCACCCGTCGCGCGGGTGCCTTCCCTCCCCAAGTTAGAGCGCCCACCCGTTCGTCGGAGCGCGGGAACCTGGTGCCGGCGCGACTGTTAGGCAGGCAGAAGCTCCACCACTGCGATCGACGCACCGATGTAGAGCAGCCACAGGAAGGCCAGCGCCCCGCTGTGCGCGTACTGCTCTCTCACCGACCCGCCCAGCTCGCCACCGCAATACCGACGCCGAAACATGAGCAGCGCGACGCACAGGAGCGCGCAGATGGTGAAGATTCCCACGCTGTAGGAAAGCCGACCAGCAGGTATGATCAGCCCCCCAGAGGGGTACAGATCCTCAAAGAGCTCCGCGTAGGTGCTCGATCCGTGGCACATCGCGAGCCATTCGTCGGTCTTGCCCTTGGCCTGCCAGTACAGAGCACCGACCGTCCACGGGAGCCCCATGCCAAGGAAGACGTTGACCGCGTTGCTCCCCGTCACGTTCCCGATAGCGTTGTCGGCGTTGTCGTCATTCTGAGCCGCGAGCCTGGACGCGAACGTGTCCGGAAGGCTGGTGCCCAGGGCGACCAGGGTGATGGCGGTCACTTCGTTGGCAATGCCCAGCACGCAGCCCAGCAGGTACGCCAGGTCAATGATGACAACAGTCACCAGGGCGATGACGAGGAGGGCGCAGAAGAAGCAGCTCCAGCCCATGCAGAACACGGTCGGGGGCAGCATCGCGGAGACGAACTTCCAGAACAAGGAGACGCAATGGAAGACCCAGTCGGACAGCGAAGCGCCCCTCTGGCAGCTGGGGCTGCCGTTGCAGAAGAAGGCCGCGGCCATCTGATCTCGCCACAGCGAGAGCCCGAGCAGGAACCGCCTTCGGTTGAAGCTCATGGCGAGGTATCTCCTCAGTCGGCGGCACGGGCCCGGGCGGCCGGCGATGGACACCTCGCATATTGCGCTGCCGGCGCCGCCGTTCGTCTCGGGGTCGAACCGCACCCCCTCGGTGGAGGAGGTCACGTGGAAGCAGAAGCGTCGGTCTTCTGGGTGGGGCGACTGGCTCAAGATCGTGATGCCGACCCTCGCTTGCAGCACGCCTTCCGCCATCGTTATGGTCCCCTCTGCGGGCTCGTAGTCAAAGCCGTGGATGGCGCTCCCGTCCTTGGTCGCGTAGTCGAACGCTATGTCGCCACACGAACCCTGCGACCTGCTCACCACGATCGTTACGATGCTGGCTTCCCGACCCACCACCATCTCCTCCGGAATGACAGAGAGCGTCCCGGGCTCGTCGTCGTTGAGGATGACGACTTTCATCCGAGAGATCCCGAGCTGGGGCTCAGGAAGCTGCCTCGACGTGCCGGACGACACCACGAGCGACGCCGGGAACGATCCCGACCCGCTGCTCCTGGCGGACGTGCTGGGGCGCTTCGAGGAGGCCCTGGGCGCCGTGCCTGCAGGGACTCCCAGGCTCGAGCTCCCGGTCAGACCGCCGTTCCAGGAGTTCCTGGAGCTCTTGCTCGGGTTCCTCTGCGGCGCCTCTGGCACCTCCAGCCTCATGTCGTAGAGCTTCACGAAGAATGATTCGGGTGGCTCCCAGGTGTCGTTGTCGATGATCGGGACAGAAATCAAATGCTCCGTCTCGCCGGGGCTGAAGAAGAGCGTTCCCGACACCGCGCTGTAGCGCACGCCGTCCTTGGCCTCGCCATCCGACGTAATATAGGAAATCTCTACCCCCAGCCCCGCAGGCTTGCTTAAGACGACGGGGATATCACAATGCCCAGCGCACTCGAGCACGACGTGCTTCGGCTCCTTGAACCCGACCATGGGGGTGTTGCTCTCTATCGTGTCCTTGTGCAGCCGGGACATCAAAGACCTGTCTCCAGCGATGAACCTGGTTATGCCCTGTCGGTACCGGGCGCGGCTCGGGGACGACTGCAGTGAGCGCTCGGCGCTGTGTTCGATCATCATCCTGATGGTTCCCTCACTGATCACCTTGCCGTACTTGTCAGAGACATCCTTCTGCAACTCCTCGATCTGTTCCGCGGCGGCATCCGGAAGCTCTTCGCTGCGGCTTCGGAAGCAGCCTCTGTCCGTGGCCCATGCGGTTATCAGGAGCAGTGGGAACATGCCCAGGGTCACGAGCGCCTCTACGATGTCGATCTTGTCGGGCGTATAAACACTCAACACAAAAACTAGCCAAACATATGCAAAAACCGATACGACTGCAGTGACAACAAAAACGTCCAGCTGCTCGATCATCCGTGTCTCTGGCGCAGGGATGGCAACAATACAGACCGCGGAGATAAGCAGCAAGTTGAAGGCTGCACTGCCCACGATGGTCGAAGGGCCTAAGTCACCAGCGAACCACTGCCTGCCTCCCATTTCCATCATGGAGACCATGATCTCGGGAGCGGAGGAGCCCAGAGCCATCAGAGAGAGGTTCGCGAGGGTGTCGTTCCACACCTTAACGTGAACCTTGTGACGGATGCCACCCTTGCCCTCGACCCATACGATCCTCCTGGCGCTGGTGATCTCTTCGATAGACGCCATGAACAAGTCGCACACCATGTTCACGCCGAGGAAACACCTTGGACAATCTTGCGCCCCCAAACTTTGGGATTATGAAGGCTGCCGTGGGGTCTCTTGGTGCGGGGATGCGGAGAAAGAGCACGAGGAGGAGCAGCAGCAGCAGCAGCAGCAGCAGCAGCAGCAGCATCAGCAGCAGGAGGGGGGAGGAGCAGGAGGAGAGGAAGGGCGCACCACAGGAGCCCCACGAAGTACAGCACGGCGCGCAGACTCGTCGGCCAGGTCTGCTCCCACTCGCCGAACAGCGGAAGCATCCACATCTCGTCCCCCGTGCCACCGCAGGGCTCGCACACGCTCCTCTGGGCGGGCGGGGGAACACACGTCGCAGCCCGACCGCGGCGCGGGGCCTGCCCCGCTCTCTCTCTCTCTCTCTCTCTTTCTGGAGAGGCCGCCCGCCGCCGGCCCCGCCATGCCGCCATGGCCGGAGGCCTACAGACGGTGCGGTGACAGACCGCGCGGTGACCTCGGAATCCCCAACGACCTCACCGCAGGGTCCGTCGCCGCACCGCCTTGGGGCCCTGGAGGCCCTGGCCGCCCGAGACGCCCTCGGAGAACGACCCGAGGTCCAAAACCGTGCGGGGCCGCCCCGAACCCCCACTGACTCACCAGACGGTGTGGCCACCGCACCGTCTGGGGACCCCTGACACGGAGGTATGAGCAGGCTTTCCTGCCGCCCTCTGCTAGCCCGCTGGTCCTCTGCAAACCACAGCCGTGCTCCTCGTCGCAGGCGGGCGGCGTGTGCCCGGAAGCCGCGCGGAACAGCACCACGAAAATGGCGGCGATGAGGAGCACTGTGAGCACCCCTGGGGGGCGGGATCTGCGCGCGCGGCATGCTCAAATGACTGACGCCGGCGCTGCTCGCAGGGGCGAGGGCGGGGCATACGAGGGCTCGGGGCCCCATGCGGGACCCCGGATCTGGCCGAGACTGGCGCGGTCCCCCGAAGCGCCGTCCGCAGCATGTCCGCTTGATGTGAGTCAGTCGAAATGTTTGCCAGCGCCCACGTACACCTGCTCCAGATCTCACAACAGGCGTAGGGCGGGTCAAACTAATGTTTGACAGCGCGTCTGGCCCCCAACAAAAATAGATCCCCCCGGTTATTAGGAGATCCAGAATAGTTGCCCCGCCCTCCCTGTCCCATGCCTCACCCTTCCCCTCCTCCTGCCCTCCTCCTCTTCCCTCCTTCCTCGTCCTCTCCCACTTGCCATCCGCATCCTATCCAACCAAGCGGAGTCGGGTGGGTGTCGTCGATTCGCCCCCCAGCTCCCGCAGCAGTGGACTTGACGATCTCTGTAGCCAGATCGTGCGAGGGCTCGTCCTCTTCGGCGAAAGATAAGGAAACAGAGGGGAGGAGGAGAGGATCGAGGACCTAGGAACACCTTTTTGTAGTTTGAGCCTCCTGATGGTCCCTCGCCGCCACTGCTGGATCAGTCTTTCCTCTGAGAATCGGGGTAAGATGACAAAGGAATTAAGGTCTCGTGTTTACTCTGCTCGGTAGTAGAGGATACGGGATGAGACATCGATGAAACTACAAGTAACCGTTAAGCAAATGCACTCAAGTATGGGAAAGGAAGAGGCCAGCCGACCGACGCCCGGACGCGAGCGCGCGGCGGCACGCTCCTTTTCTAACCTGAGTACAAATAGCTGCGGAATGGTACCGCAGAGTCAAGGTGTGGCAAGGCAGGCAGCAAGAGAGGCAAGTGCAGTATGAGGCGGAGAGGAGCATATTTACTCCCCCCGCGGCGGGCTTCGTAGAGCCCATCCAGCCACAGCTCTCCTGGCCTGTACATATCTACAGCCACCGGAGCGAACCCCAAAAGTATTTTACCGCTCAACGGTGGCTGCCAGGGAGCTGAAGGCCGGAGAAACCCGACGAATCCCACCAATGGTTAAATAAATTCTCTCAGCCGAAGCGACTTTGTCGCTCGGTCGTGCCCGCGGCGACTTTGTCGCCCGGGCTTTGCCTGCACTCACTTCTTGTGCTAAAGGTATCGCCCCGATGGCGGAGACGGAAGTCTCGGATGTGAGGACGACGAGCCTCCCGTCTGATCAGCGGCCCAATAGGGCGAAGTTGATCTGTATCCCTTGCCACGGCCAGCGTAAGGAGCTGACCTGTTGCACTTGTCATTGTTCTTGCTCTTGTTCTTGGAACCCTTTCCTTCTCTCGGAAAGCGGTAGTTGTAGTCATTCAGGTACGCAAAATGCCACGCGCATTCCCGGTTCTCCCTGGGATTCACCCAGTGTATCGCGTCACGGTGAACCCAGTATTCATCCAGTACATCATCCGTGTAGCGCGGGTAGTGCCTCGAGAGGTCGTAGTCGCCAGCCGCGCGCCCGGCAGCCATGGCCCCGCCGCGCGCGCGTAGGCCTAGACCAATCCCACGTGTCCCTGTGGCGACCAGTGCAGCCGACGGGGCGAGCCGACGGACAAGCGAAAACAAACAAGAACAAACAAAACCAATGAATTGGGCCAGCCGAGGGGCCGAGCGACCGCGGGGCGGCGAACGAGCCTGGGGCGACCAGTGCAGCCGACGGCCATGCGAAAACAAACACAAAACAACAAAACCAAGAGATGGGGCCAGCCGAGGGGCCGAGCGACCAGCGTCACCCAGGGAAGTGACAACCAAACCCTAGAAGTAGATTAGGTTTGCGCCCGCCACAAAAAAAAACAAAAAGTAATGATTCTTGAAATAGGAAGGCGCTTAAAGTAGATTGGGTTCTGGGAATCCAAAAATACCTACTTTCAACGACCGGTGGGTACTCATCTCCTGCCGCGGCGGTTTGACCGCCGGCAGAGCATGGAGATTCAGAGACGTCATCGTTGGCCCGATCGTCTTGGACGTCGGGTCTGCGTGGAGGAGGTGGCGGATCGGGGCGACCAGCTGTGCTGGGCATCGCTTTCGCCAAAGAGGTCCCCTCCGTATCGGCTTGGCCGTCGGAGGGCCCATCAGCGCCTCCCCTTTCACGAACGCTTGTCACTTGTTGCTTTCTAGCATGTCTAATAATATCCCTTGCGGCAGTAGCAACAAAAATACCAAACATGCCACAGGCACAGCGAAAGGGGCCTTCATCTTTGTCTTGGAGCTCAGTTGCTTCCACGTATGGATACAACCAGTAAATAGCTCCTTGCAACTTCATGCCCTGACGACGGATATCGGTAAAACCCTGTCTGCCCAAGTCGTGGGCCCATTCCTCAATGAGGTCGTCTGTCTCAATCGCCGCACGGATGCGGCAATCAAGGGCGCACGCATCCGTTCGACGCTTGTCCTCATCGCACTCTGCACCTGTGCCGCGAGCAAGGAAGTTAGCCCCAGGGTATGCAATAGAATATCCCTCGGCAATGAAACAAGTAATGAAATCACGAACAATCACAATCACGCGAATGATGCGGATGCCCAACTCCAGTTCTTGAGCCGGGATCTTCCAGTTCCATTCAATGGTGTGCCGCACGTATTCTGGAACATCGTGCGTTACTTCGCCCGACAATCGTAACCTTTCAGGTTCATTTGTGTCTGGGCGATAGCTGGTGTACTCCATGACATATTGAGCCGCCACATCAATGGCTCCGTTCTCGGTCAACGTGATGCTCAACGATCTGTCATCGCGATGAGAGTACGCAAATCCATCGGGCTGATCAAGATTGATCCTCCCGTCAAGTATCTGCTCGGTCTGGGACCCGCAGACTGCGGTGAAATCAAGGGTCATGTCTACGTTCTCCTCACCTGCCGTCACGGTTGGACCGGCGGCAGGTTTGGCATGCTTGCACACCGAAGTGAGAGGGTGTTTGGAACATATGTTGTTGCGCCTGCTGACGGACTGGGAAGCACGACGAGGACGTGCCACAAAATCATTTGCCCAAGCAACCGGTGGGCGTCCACGAGGGCTGGGCCCTGTTGTGTCCATAGCGGTGCCCTGGGCAATGGGCAGCCAGGGTGCTGTTCCCGCTCTTGCGTCGCGCAATGTCCGAAGAGTTGGTACGAAAGTGTTCGCTGTATTCATGCTGCGTTTCCATGCAATCCAACCTTCAATGGGTTCAACGCGCGAGTCGAGTGCCTCTGGCCACTCAAAGGCAGCCAGAGCGAGACAAGACATGGGACGCGCATACTGGTCAATTTCTGTTGCCCAAAGTAAGGACCACCACTCTGCGATCGATGGGGCTTGAATCCCTTCTCTCTCAGCCAAATGCGCAAGCCATTTTATGAATCGCCTCTTCAGAGGTTCAAGATACTGAAAGAAGGGACCGCGGCGCGCCGGCGGCTGGGCCGCGACGTGCTCAGGAACCCAGGCAGGAACACTACCCGGGCGGCTGTTTCCAAAGGTTTGGCCCGAAGCAGCCAAGCTAAGATGCTGACAATGTGCTGCCCATTTGCGCTCCAGCTTCAGATTGTTGTTGATGTTGTTTACTACATCCGCCGAAGCTCTCCGTTGTCATTTTATTCGCTCGCCGACATAACGATCACGCTCGTAAGGAAGCATCTCAAGAGTGACAACATGCAACAATATGCCATTGTTCCGAAGCGAGTTTGTGTCGGTAAGACTGAAGCAAATAATCATGGGCAACTTTGTACTTATACTTTAATGGGTTACCACGAGAGGGGCAACGGCCAAGGCCAGTTCGCACCCACTGCAAGTTAGCACAGAGGAACCGACCATCGTCCTCCCAGGGGACAGACTGAAACATTCTTCTGCCCTTTGAGGCAACGGAGGCCTATGGTCTGGGAGCGACGACAAAGTCTCGTCAGTGCGAATCCAAACGAGCATCGAAGCGTTATCAAAATGTACCTCGTATGAGGTCCACTCCTGATTGAAGACAGTTGACCAAGACATTCGCTTTTCGTCGCGACCCCACCAGTCGCCGACTTTGGCCGGGGTGACGGCTTTGTCGATATCAGTAGACCTCGGCACCTCATGGGGCACAAGAGTCCCGTCCTGGCAGATCCGGTACGAAAAACGGGTGAGCACACGGCCATCGAAAACAATACTTAACGGCCAGGATTGTCGGTGAGTAGGAAGCTGGTCCCACAGACGGACTGTGTCCACTGCGGGCCATGCTCCGATTGACGGGGGCTCTCCTGGCTGTGGGACACTGCCCATGGCATGGTGCGTCTTCACAGGAGCAGGCTCTCCATACCTCCGCTGGCTTAGCCAGGAAGGGAGATGGTCTTGTCCTCGCATGCTCGGGTCCTTCTTGGTCGGAAGAAGCCTCAACAATTCGTAGTCCGCCTCGAGGCAAAGCCCCGAGTCGCTCTTTGGGAACTTGACTTCTCCGACCATGGATTCCACCAACGTTTCCATATCAGTGATATGGAGGAGGGCCCATGACACCTGGCTAGGCCAGGGTCATAAGGCACGTGCATTCTCTCAGTTGAAGCAACAAAAATGGAATGTCCCCGGCATGCTCGGTAGAAAACAGGAATGGGAGAGTTATCCCTCTCCTCCCCTTGAACGGGCCAGGCTTTGAATTCACGCGACATTTTGTACACGGCCGTCTCCTTGATGCTGGCAGTGTCATCAGGAAGCACACCAAGGACTTCCACAGTCCCCGGCTGCAACGCGGCTAGGCCGTGTGCAGCAAGTGCACATGTTTGGTATCCAAATCCATCCTCGGTCATCTTCTCAACCAGGTCTCCAAAGTAGACCCAGCCTCCCGAGGACCTCGCATAATCAGAACAATGCCTCGCGAGGTACGTCGCGAAATCACCAACGCGCTGAGCGAACTCGTCTATTCGACAACTTTGGGGTCGCCAAAAATCCGCACTGCCTAGGGCGGCCGGATTCTCGCGATCAGTGACCCCCACAACCAATGGGGTCAAAACCTTAAAAGATTGAGGATCAGATCCGCTGGGAATATCATCAGAATAAAACTCAGCACGGAGAAAATCTCGCACCTGATCGAAAGTGCCCATGCCTACGGAAAGTTCGCTCAATAGTGCAAATATGGGATCTTCAACGAGCTCCGCAACATTTTTGAGCGTACTGAGCGACCTATTGCGAATGGCCTCTACCCGCGGGGGTACTGGGCCAGTAGTGTGGGCCTCTCTAACCCTCCGCCTCAGATCGGTGGGAGTGCGATGAATAATTCGAGTGCGCTCATCCAGCGAAAGATAAAGTTCTTTGCCCCTAAAGCGGTCAGCGTGCCCGACATGAATCTCCTGATCGCCCTCTTGGGGCGAAGTGTCCGTCGGTTCATGCTGCCGTTTATCGGGGGAAGGTGGCAACCTTGCTCTGCAGAAGAAATTAGCAGAGGCTGGGCCAGATCGATAATGCTCCTCCTCAATGGGAATGAGCTCAGGATCCCCTTGATACGGGAAGTCATAG